TGCTGAGCTTTTCTGGCTCCTGGGACAAGGTTGTTTCTTCTCTTTGCACTTCGTTTCTGGAATCGGCCCACTAGGAGGCCAAATGGGCCCATCAGAAGGGCACCGAAACCTGGAATCCCTTACTCGGCTACCAGGTAACGGTCACGTGCTTCAAGGGATAAAATGGCCTCAGCATGGCCATGTGTTCTGGTGCATTTTTATGGCTCATTAGCTTATCTTTCCTTTAACATCGATGGGGAGAAGAATCTAGACACTTATGAGAAAATGGGTTCTTTTCTAGTCAAAAGTATACTGTCATGAAGAATAAACAAGATGCGAATAACTGGGAGACGTAGAAGGGATAATAAAAAAAATAAACATCGTATTTGATGGCCATAAACAAAATCCAGTGATCAAAGAAAGCATATATGTGGGTATGTGAGGCATAATAAATATAACATATTTCATGGGCAAGCAAAGAAGAACCAGTTAAGTAAATTCTCTGCACTTTTTCATAAGCTGCTTATTAATCCCGCCGGTCATGATTCCACTGCACGGAGCAGGGGAGGTGAGCGCTGTCAGAACCACTTCTCTGTCAGGTTAAGGCTATTACTGACCAGATATCTAACAACCAGAGAAACGCCTGCAAGTAAAACAGAGCAGGAGCCTGAACAACTTAGGGTGTGACATTTAGAGAAGTATGATAACTTGTGAACACCAAAGCATTCAACTTTTATCAAACTTCAAAATCAGCTTTCTGAAATTTACAGTTATTAAACTTAATCCTTAATCTTTGGTACAGTGCCCTTATGAGTCATCAAACAAGCTCATGCGAGGACATATTTGAGAGAAGACAAAAAATGAGAGTAAATTGATTAATGATCATTAAGATTCCCTGGGATCTAGGAAAACTCATAGTAAAGAACGCTGGGCACTGGATAAATATTGATCTAAAGAGCCAGAGCCTTGCTGAAGATAAGTTATCGTGGGACAGGCTCTGTGAAAACACAGTCCTGAAAACAAAGTATATGTCTTTTCCACATTAACTAAGCGGCGGGGAGAAGGCAGAAGAGGGGCTATTGGAAGGAAAGAAAGATGATTCAGTGTTCTTTAGTCCCTGGCATAGTGCCTGTTTGGGAAAATGGAAGGAGTTGGTGCATGAAGTCTTCTGAGAACATCATATGAACATGTGACATTTTATTGTCCACCCAGCGCAAACACGTTTAGGTGTGCTCCAAGACAGGTGGGCCAGTCCTCAGCTAGGGATTGCCAAGGTCAACTGCTGTGTAAAGTTAGAATTTGAGCATTTAATTTGAAGAGAAGAAGGAAGGGGAGGAAGGAGGGAATGGCTCTAGGGATAGAGG